AACCCTAGCTATGGATAACCGCCCCTGCCCCCAGTGGTTGTTTCTCTTCTGATTTCGTGTTTTTTCCCTTTTCTGTTCAAAAGCTCTACAAGATTGTGTATTCAAGTCTGTCACTCCTGTGATTTTTCTTTTATTTCTTCCAAGTTTAGATAATTGCCCTCTCACTTCAAGCAGAAGTTTGATAAATGTTCAATTCCGTTTGTATCCAGATTTTTATTTTTTATTTATTTTTTAAGAGATTTTATTTACTTATTTGATAGAAAGCGCACGCAAGCAGGGGGAGCAGCAGAGGGAGAAGCAGGCTCCCCACTGAGTAGGGAGCCCGACACGGGGCTCGATCCCAGGACCCTGGGATCATGACCTGAGCTGAAGGCAGACACTTAACGACTGAGCGGCCCAGGCGCCCCATGCATCCAGATTTTTGAAAAACATACGTACCCCTTTACCTCATTGAAAGTGTATCATGCTCCTCGTTTGTAGTAAGGATTGAAACTCATTTCTGTCTGTTTACTGAAGTTGTATCACTCCTGTGTTGAATCATCTTTCCCATCCGTGTACGGTTCCTCCTTAGTCCCCAGCTAATGTTGATATAAATGGCAGGGCCTGTTTCCATCATGCGTCTACTGATAGAGCACATCTTTTAGAATGACTATTTAAAATTTATCTGATAAGGTTTATCCTACTTCATCGCATTTTAAGCTTATTTTTTGAATTTTTTTTTCTGATTCTCACCCATTGGAATGTAAAACCAAATCCTCTGCAAACTCAGAGTTTCTCTGGGGACAGAAACCAAACCTTAAGGCTTTCGGTGTCCCCAGCACAGCCCCTGGCACGTAGCCATAACTGGTTCCTATTTCTGAGTGAATGAATTCACCCTCTTATGGTGTGCTCTTACTAAAGGTTGTGGTTTCCAGGCTTTCGCTTTTATTTTACTTGAAGAAACTGATCAAATGAAGGCCAGAGACACCAGCGTTCCCTTTGTTGAACCCCTGCCACACACCCAGCAAAGCCCCATGTCTTCTCCAGTGATCCACGGAGGTATATTATTGCCCCCATTGTATAGATGAGGAGGCCGAGACTCAGCGTGGTTCAGTGGCCTGCATTTGGAAGGCTGATAAGGGTCAGAGTCGAGCAGCTTACCTAAGCTAGCTGTTAAGCAGGTAGGTCTCAGGACACTGTAGTGTCCGGTGTTGGTGTCCGATGGCCTGTGTGACGTTGGCAGTTAGGAGACCCACCTGTCTCCATCTGTGTACCGAGCACCCGAGGGTGGCTGGGAGTGCCTAGTGGGACTAGACCCTCCAGCTGCTCTTCTCTTCTTGTCCCTGTGAGCCAAGAACATGTGTCCTTTCCCCTTTGCTGAGGTGTTCTAGGCTGGTATTACTGATAATGACACCATCACTTTGCAGTCCTGTAGGGATTCGTGTGACAGTTCTTTGCAGTCTCCCTTTTATAACCGAGAAGGACAGTTACTTGATGGGGCTGAGGAGAGGAATCAGAACTAGTTGGGGCCCCAATCCATATCTGGTATCCTGTGCCTCGGGCCTTGTCTTGGCCATAAAGTTCCCCGTGGCCTGTTTTGAGTTGAAGCCTTGGTAAGTAATTTTCTTTTAAAGAGGGAGCGAGTACAATTCTGTTTTACATTGTAAAGTTATGCAGCTTCTCTTTGCAAATGGAAAATCAAATCGGTAAATACTTAGCAACTGCTATGGGCAAGACTCTCGGTATCCTTGTTGGCAGAAGATGGTAACCGGGTATGTGGAAGACGGATCTGGGCCCAGGTTCAGGTTTACCATTTATTAGCTGTGTGACCGTGGGCTTGACCCACCTCTCTATGGCTGCACTTTCTTATTTGGACACCATAGATGAGAACCCCTGTCCTACAGAATGGTGGTGAGGAGCCAAAGAGAGAATGTGTGTTAAGAAGCCGTTAAACTTGTTAACATATGATGTGGTTGTCCTGAGGGTCCAGGGGAGCAGGGTGGGGCCACGAAGGGGCGTCCGGGGACAAAGAAGAAGAAGCCATTGGAGCTGAAGGTTTATATCCTAGGCTAAGAGTCTCCAAGAGTAGAACTAAGACCTTCACCAGGTAGGGATGTTCAGGGTTGAAGTAGGGGACGGAGGCCCCAAGCTCTGTCCGGAAGTGACTTGCTCTGTCAAAGCCTGGCAGAATTTTATGTACTGACTTGGTTGCCAGTGTCTTCTTCTACTCAACCCTTGTCCTCCTGGGAGACAAAGCCGTATCTGATAGTTGCACGGTGTACTCGCCCCCGCACCCAGCTGCGTGCACAGCCCGGCTCAGGGACGGTGGAAACATTTGTTCACTGAAGGAGTGAGTGGTACCTGGACCATGTTTGTTGACTGAATGAGCGTGACACTGGTTAATGACATTTCCAACCTAGTTTAAAAGCAACTTCAAATAAGACCCATGAGAGAAAGGGACCCTACAGGGACAAGAAGGATCTGTGAAAAAGAGAGCACTTTTGGTTGGGTAGCCTGGCAAAACGTGGAGATGCTCGTGGGGAGAGAGTCATCCCCCTCCTTACTGAGAACAGCATGGCTGAGACTCAGTTAGTAAGGGTGTCTGTTACAGTTTTCTTCAAATCACATTTGACTTTTAATTGATACTGGGCACAAAAACGTTGAAAATAAGACCTTTAAAAATCCAATCTTTTATTTTTATTTTTTGTAAAGATTTTATTTATTTATTTGACAGAGAGAGAGAGACAGCAAGAGAGGGAACACAAGCAGGGGAAATGAGACAGGGAGAAGCGGCTCCCCGCGGAGCAGGGAGCCCGATGCGGGGCTCGATCCCAGCACCCTGGGTTCATGACCTGAGCCGAAGGCAGACGCTTAACGACTGAGCCACCCAGGCGTCCCAAATCCAATCTTTTAATGTCTTAATAACATTGAAAGGTCTTTATGGTGGCTGCACAAAACCTCTTCTCGGATAGTGTTCATGTTCCGAGGGATGCCCTGCCTTATTCCTGGGTGGATCCGGTCAGGTAAGCTCAGGAAGCAGAAGGAGGGGCAGAATACTCCCAGACCCTGAACCACAGTTCCTCACCGAGCACTTTCTCATTTGTCCAGCAAAAGAAGAGCTGCGCCATTCTTAGACTAGACCCAAGCCTTTGATGTGAGTTGTCTCTCAAGTGGCCGGGGGTGGGGGGGTGTGGGTCTAGAACCCAGAGTTCTGTCGTTCACCGAACAAATGGATTTGTGCCTGCTTCCTGCAGGTGTTGGCAAGGATGCTGAGAGAAAAGGCATGGAGCCTGCCATCAAGGAGTTTCTGACACAATGTGTTCACTTTAAGGGCCTCCTAAAAGGAAGCAGGGTGGGGAGGGGCTCTGTCCCTCCCTGCCGGACCTCACATGTGTTAAACAAGTAACGTGATTTTCCTCCAGCAGCTGTGGGATGGTTAAATACGAAGCCCCATGGCTCTGGCTTTATTTATGATCGTGCAGGAGCAACACGGGCCGGAACGGAAGGGCTGACCTTCTCTGCTCCAGCCAGGGCGCCTTGTTCAGCGGTGTCTGTCATCTGGCATGGTTTCCCAAAGCGGACCACTGTCGCCTGCGTCGTGAAGATACTGAGAGGGTAGCCCACGCTCCGAAATTAATGCGTTCTCAGCAAAAGCCGTAGAATTGTGGGTAGCCTTGCACCTTGCCAGCTCTTTGTGTTCCTCAGCAACCGCATGTAGCTCTCTCTTGCTTTGTAATGCCAGCATCATCCATCACAGAATGTTCTCTGCTCCAACAATGTATTTGCTAATTAAAATCAGTTGTCAGGGTGTGTAAGCCCGTGATTGATTTGATTGCTCTGGCATTTGAAGATTTTTCTTTATTATGAAAATATTAGAAACTTTTTTTTAAGTAGAGAGCATCATATAATAAACATCCATATACATATCACTAGACTTAACCGTTGTTAACATTCGCCACATTTCTTCATTTATTTGATTGTTGTTGAAGTATTTTCAAGTACATCGCAGACATCAAGGCATTTCAGTATCTATCTCTAAATAATGACATTTTACCTCATGACCATGACATCATTGGCATTTCTTTTTTTTTTTTAAGATTTTATTTATTCATTTTAGAGAGTGAGCATGTGTAGGGAGGGGCAGAGGGAGAGAGAATCTGAAGCAGACTCCGCACTGAACACAGAGCCAGAGGTGGGGCTTGATCCCACGACCCTGAGATCTTGACCTGAGCTGAAACCAAGAGCCAGACGCTCAACCAACTGAGCCACCCAGGTGCCCCAAATGCCCCCCAATTACAGATGGTCTGTTCAGCACAGGATACGGTCATAGGCTGCATGTTGCCTTTTGCTGTTTTGCATTTTGCTATTTTATATCTTAAGCTTTTAAAATCTAGAACAGTTTCTTCTCCCCAACTCTTGGGATCTTGTTGGTTTCTGTCATATTGTAGAAGTTCTTGGATCTTTCCATAGAGATGACGAAGTTTTTCATGGATCCCTTCTGTGGGACAGCTATACTTATGTTCCTGCATTTCTGTGAGTTACAGTTCACTGGAGGTGTTTGTTTTTAGTACTTCATTATTAAACTAGCTTCAGCAGCTTAGAAATGATTCAGATCAAAGGCGCCTGGGTGGCTCAGTTAAGCAGCCCACTCTTGGTTTCAGCTCAGGTCATGATCTCAGGGTCCTGGGATCAAGCCCCGTGTCAGTCTCTGTGCTCAGCGGGGAGTTGGCTTGAGATTCTCTCTCCTTCTGCCTCTCCCCCATGCACATGCACTCTCTCTCTCTCTCTCTCTCAAATAAATAAATCTTAAAAAAAAAAAAAAAGATTCAGATCTGACCTGGGCTGGTAGTTTACTGGAAGAAGCATTCCTTATGTTCATTTCTTTTTAATCTCAAAATTATCTTTCTGGATTTATAGAGAGTTTTTTGACTTAAAATGAATGCAAAGCAACAAAGGTGGGTTCTGAAGACCAGCCATGTGTGAGGTTGAGAACAACCACAGTAACTCTTGTTCATGTTCAGTTTGCAGAGAAATTTCAGGAGGTGAGAGAAGCTGCCAAACTAGCCAGAGACAAGTCCCAGGAGAAAATTGAGACCTCAAGCAATCATTCCCAGGTAAGTAATGGGTGTACAAAATAAACCTGAGTGTGATCAGTAATTGGGACTCTTTGTTCCTTGTCACTTTTGACAAGAAATAGGGACTTCTAGCAGGAGGGCATTTTGAAGGCTTTTTTTGACTGTTAGCCTGCTCCCACTGAGGTGATATGACATGTTTGTATGAGACTCTTGAATTTTCCATATGTGCTGATGTATTTTTGACAGAAAGCAGTTGATGAGATTAGAATTGCTGCATGCCCCTGGCTGCTAAGAGGCATTCTTTGTCACTGTGTTTCAATACCAGAGACAAGGCAGTGTGTGAGCCTACGTGAAGGATGTGCATTGACGAATACGGGTACCTTGTGCTCTCGAGACAGAAAACTTGGCTGATGCTAGAGAACCCCTGTCTCTATCTCCATGTTTTAACAAAGTCAGATGGGAGATGGTATTGTTAACAGCTCTGGATTAGCAAAGGAGATACCCCTTTGCCAGAAATTGAGTATTCATTCTGTCTACTTAAAAGTGTGATGATTGACTGAAAGGAACCTATTTTAACCCAAAGTAAAAATACCTACATTCTTGATGTCTGGTTTGGTGTACGTAATGGTGGGCAGAAGGCTTGACCGAGTGGTAAGGTTCTATGCATAGAGACCGGGAAAAGGAGACATCAGGGGGCGGGGGGAAGGTTCAGGGTTAGGAATAAGCATGGTGCAGCAGACTCCCAGCCGAGAGCGAGGTGCACTGTGGGAGGAATGACAGATACACTTGGAGATTCTGCAGAAGACCTGGAATTCCTCATTACTAGTTTATTTTTTTTTAAATAATTGTTTTTTTTTAAGATTTTATTTATTTATTTGAGAGAGAGAGAATGAGAGATAGAGAGCACGAGAAGGAGGAGGGTCAGAGGGAGAAGCAGACTCCCTGCTGAGCAGGGAGCCCGATGTGGGACTCGATCCCGGGACTCCAGGATCATGACCTGAGCTGAAGGCAGTCGCTTGACCAACTGAGCCACCCAGGTGCCCTCATTACTAGTTTATTAAGTATTACTTATTTAATTGTTATTGGGGAGCTTGGGCAGACCTTGGAGGTGTTGCATGACTTCTTCTCTGGAATTGACATGAGGTGGTGAGGAAGTCAGGGAACCACCAGACAGCAGGTAGACTGTCAAGGACACAGCCACGGGGGGTAAAGAGGAAGGGACGGTAAAGAGGAAGCAGTGTGTGTGTGGGGGGGCGCCTCGGTGCCTCAGTCGGTGAAGCGTCTACCTTCAGCCCAGGTCATGATCCCAGGGTCCTGGGATCGAGTCCCACATCAGGCTTTCTGCTCAGCAGGGAGTCTGCTTCTCCCTCTCCCTGCCGCTCCCCGGGCTTGTGTTCTCTCTCTCTTTGGCAAATAAATAAATAAAATCTTTAAAAAAAAAAAAAAAGCAGCAGCATTGGGGAGAAGAGGGTAAAGCTAGAGCCTGGGGAAATGCACCCAGCTGTGGGAAGAGAGCAAGTGAAGACTGCCAAGAAGGAGAGCTCTCCCCATCACTGAACCCGAGGCAGGAGCACACTCAGCCTGTCCTTGCTGCAGAGCAGAGGGCTCTGGGTTTGTCCGCTGCTGGGGCTGGACCTGAGGACCCAGGGTTTCCCAGCGCCTGTCCTGGCTCAGCATATAAAAGATGCCCTGTGTGAATTTATGGAATGTGTTTTAGGCTTCAGGTGGACAGGAACTTTCCTGAATCTTTTCAAAGAATCTTTAATGTAATCTGAGTGATACTGTTAATTTCATAAACTAATTACCGTACTGAGTAATCACTGAGGACCTTTAAAGTTGGACCCAGCAATGGACCGTAATCTAGAGTTTCTAATAAACAATCTTTTTCTGAATACTACACGTTATAGCAATATCTTTAAACTTCAATAATCAGAAGTTCTTTATATAAGGTTTCTGTTTTAATGTTTGTTTTTCCAAAAAAAGGTATTTTATTTTATTTTTTAAAGATTTATTTGAGAGAACGAGCATGGGCATGGAGGGAGGAGCAGAGGGAGAGGGAGAATCTCAAGTAGACTCCCTGCTGAGCGTGGAGCCCGCCATGGGGCTCAGTCTCACGACCCTGAGATCATGACCTGAGCTGAAACCAAGAGTTGGATGCTTAATTGAGCCACCCAGGCAACACCCCCCCAAAAGTATTTTAAGCCTTAAAAAAAATCAACTATACCCATAAGGTGCTATTTTATATATGTGTATTAATTACATATCAATTTTTTGTCTCCAAGCTTTAGTTTTTATTTATCTTCCTGATGTTTCCCCAGAGGTAGAGATCATTGTACATTTTTCTTTGCATTTTTATTAGAAATCATACAATTGCTTGCTTTCCTGAATCTCTTAGGGAATGAACACTTTGGCCAAGTTTTCCAAATATTGGAAGATTTTAAACATTTTATATGGGTCTTATGTATGTAACGTAATGTAAATGTAAAAGCAATGGCTATTTACCGCAGAAATCAAAACTATGCTATAGTCTAAGGAAGAGAATAAGAACGACCTGCTTTCTCCCCACACAAAGATATTGTTAATGTTTTGGTGTTTATCTTCCTGATACACTTTTCTAGTATATTTTTATATCATTCTTTTTAACCTTTTTACTTTATTTTTTTTTCCTAAAGATTTTATGTATTTATTTGACAGAGAGAGACACAGCAAGAGAGGGAACACAGGCAGGGGGAGTCGGAGAGGGGGAAGCAGGCTTCCTGCGGAGCAGGGAGCCCGACGCGGGGCTCGATCCCAGGACCCTGAAACCACACCCTGAGCCGAAGGCAGACGCTTAACTGACTAAGCCGCTCAGGCGAGCCCCAGACCTCACTTTTATTTATTTATTTATTTTTATTTTTTAAGATTTCATTTATTTATTTGAGAGAGAGCGCGCGCGCATGGATGGGGGGAGGGGCAGAGGGAGAAGCAGGCTTCCCACTGAGCAGGGAGCCCGATGCGGGGCTCGATCCCAGGACCCTGGGACCATGACCTGAGCCGAAGGCAGACGCTTAACGACTGAGCCACCCAGGCGCCCCTAACCTTTTTACTTTATATTTCATGATCATTCCCCTGTGTTTTCAAATATCCCTTTTCAAAACTGTCTTAATGGCTAGTATTTGTCTGTATTGCAACTTATTCCATTAACCTAACACTTTGAGATATTGATGGGGTTTCTAATTTTCATTAATATAAATGACACTGTGATCACCGTCCTTGTACATCTCTGTGCATTTGGTAATTTCTGCAGGATAAATTCTTGAAGTGCAAGTACTGAATTAAAAGATAGGGACATTTTAAAAGCTTTTGGTAAATACTGCCAACTTAACCTACAGAAATGTGTGATTCTACCTCCCACCAGCAGTGACTGAGAGCGATTCTTTTCCTCCCACACTCTCACCAACAAAGCTGTGTTGACTTGACAGAAGAAAAATGTATTCTGTTGGCTTTTTTCATTTTGCATTTCTTTACCAGTGGATTAAGTATTTTTTGTGTCTATTGATTCTATCCATTTCTTCTTCTGTAAATGTCAGTTGTGTATTTTTTTCCTTTTTTAAAAGATTAAAGTGTTCATCGTTTTGTGTTGATTTCTTTTTTTTTTTTTAAGATTGTATTTATTTGAAAGAGAGAGCGTGAACATGAGCGAGCGGGGATAGGATTGGGGGGTGGTGCAGAGAGAGAGGGAGAAGCAGCTCCCCGCTGAGCAGGGAGCCTGACACGGGGCTCAGTCCCAGGACCCCAGGATCATGACCTGAGCTGAAGGCAGACACTTAACCGACTGAGCCACCCAGGCGCCCGCTGTTTGTGTGGATTTCTAAGAATTTTATTTTTTAACACGGATATTTTTTAACATATTCAAAGCTAAGCAGAGTTGTATAATGAACCTCCATGGGACACACAGGTCAGCTTTAACAATTAGGAATTTATGATCAATTGTTTCATCGTGCCCCCTTCCCCCTCCCGCTAAATTTTAAGCAAATCTCAAACATCTTATTTCATCCATAAATATGTCAGCGTGTGGCTCTAAAAGACAAGGCCTCTAAGAGTTTTTCAATATAGGAAAGGTATTAACATCTTGTTTTTCATATATGCAAATGCTCAGCAGCAGATATTTTCCCCAGGGTTTTGTGCATTTTTTATTTTGTTTATGACTTTTTTTTTTTTTTTACAGTGCAGAAATTTAGCGTTAGTCAAATGTATGCATCATTCCCTTCATGGTTCCTTCCTTTGCCTTTATGCTCAGTGGAGGCTAAATAAGATCGAAGATCTTATCCAGAGCAGATGAGATTTCACCTCCCTGTGGTATGACTTATTACAGAAAATATTTCAGAATATTCATAATCTAATGAACTGTTGGAGGCCATGCGCACATCCGTATCTGATCCCTGGTTGTTTTGTGCGTCTTGCTCTCTGGCCCCAGGGCCTGTAAGTTGTCCTTGCTTCTAATACTTTTTCTCTTTTCCTCATTCACTGTTTCTTGTTTCCTCTTGTAAACCCCCGCTCCCCCTCTCATCCGTGGCTTCTGTGTTAAATAAGGGAGACCAGGTATGCAAGCTTGTCAAGTGTTATCTGTAAAGCTGAGTAACAAGATGGCCCCAGGGCCCCAGGTGCGCTCTTGTCAATAAAGTTCACAGACTTTCTCAGATTCCCCTGGACTCCTCTGGGCCTTTTCCATGGTTCTTTTTTTTTTTTTTTTTTTAAGTTTCAGAGGTAGAATTTAGTGATTAACAGCCTTTCGTGCTAGTCTTTGCCGTGTTCTGGTCTGATGAGTTTGTTCTCTCTGGCTCACAAACACACTTTCTCATTACGCCTGATTTGCCGCTGCTGTGAGCAATAGTGTGTGAAGGTAACTCACTTTGGCCAGGAATCTGGGTGTGAAACCCCGTCTTCTCCTCAGGTGTCCAGTGTCAACGGGACAGACGATGAAAAGGCCTCTCATGTGGGTCCTGCTGACACACACCTCAAGTCTGAGAATGACAAGCTGAAGATCGCCTTGACACAGAGGTACGGGTATTTAAAATCCAGATGGCATTTTCTCCAAGGTCAGTGCCTCCCCGCGGCCTTTCCCGCCAGGCGGGGTTTCACGAGGAGACTGGGTCCTGCTCAGAGTGTCTGGTCTTGTCTGTGGGCCAAAGGAACGCCAGCTGGCTTCATGGTTGTTCTCTGTCTGGCCAACCAGACCAGACCTGGCCGACCAACAACATGGCTGTTCTGTGTCGGCCTGCGTGTGTGCGAGAGTACACAGCATGTGGAAGATGTGTGTGTGTGTATGTGTGTATATGTGTGAGAGAGACGTGTCCCTGTGCTTGTGTTTTGTTTTGGCTTTTTGAGGAGCCAAATGTATCATTTATTTGTATAGCATAAGACTGAATCTCGAACATTCAAGAAAAACCTCTAAAAACCTGTTTAAAATAATACAACCTTACACAAAAATCAATAGCTTTTCTATGTACAAACATCACATAGAATATGTATTTGAAGGAGAGATTTCCCTTACAATACGAACTAGAACCATCAATTACGTGAACTAGACACATTAAAATACAGAAAACTTAAGGGTACAGTATCTCTGTGAAGAAAGTTGTAAAATGATTTTGAGGACCATAAATGAATAATTAAACAAATAGAAAGATATATTCTATTGGGAGGTGGTAGAAATGCCTTCATATTTTAAAAAGAATCCATTCCCCCTAAATTGATATATAAATTTAACAGTCCCCATAATAATATCAACATGATTTTAATTTTTTTTGTTTTATTTTATTTTATTGTGTTAATCACCATACATTATTACATCATTAGTTTTGGATGTAGTGTTCCATGATTCATTGTTTGCGTCTAACACCCAGTGCTCCACGCAGAACGTGCCCTCTTTAATACCCATCTCCAAACTAACCCATCCCGCCACCCCCTCCCCTCTAGAACCCTCAGTTTGTTTCTCAGAGTCCATCGTCTCTCATGGTTGGTCTCCGCCTCCAATTTCCCCCCCTTCCTTTTTCCCTTCCTATTATCTTTTTAAACATATAATGTATTATTTGTTTCAGAGGTACAGATCCGTGATGCAACAGTCTTGCACAATTCCCAGCGCTCACCATAGCACATACCCTCCCCAATGTCTATCACCCAGCCACCCCCTCCCTCCCACCCCCCACCACTCCAGCAACCCTCCGTTTGTTTCCTGAGATTAAGAACTCCTCATATCAGTGAGGTCATACGATACATAACACGATTTTAATTTTTAATGACTACACAGGCCGCGCTTACAGTTTTCCTCCCTTGAGAGTGTGGCCCATTCCCCGACGGTGGGGCTGGCCCCGTGAGCACACTGAGCTCGCTCAGAGCTGCGGTTCTTGGCAATACTCCTGTCCCCGCCCCGGGCCAGGGCTTGGCCAGCTTCTCCCAGCCCTTCTGTGGCTGGGAAGCTGCCCTCCCCAGACTTGTCTCATTGAAAAGCTGGGTCATACTAACTCCATTTTACAGATGAGGAAACTGAGTCCCAGTGGTAAAGTGAGTCCTTGCCTAAGGTCACATGGCTAGTCAAGTTCTCCACCATCCTGCCTGCTTTTCACTCTTTTGTTGTTTAAGACACAAGATGCTTCTTGGATGAAAACGTTTCACCCCTAAAAATACAGGTTTTTAAATCCCAGCTTAATGAACAAGTGCATTATAGGAATGGGTGTGAAGCCATTTCCCCAAATCAGCTTAAATTTTCAATCATCAACTCTGAAATTAATCAGATTCCATTTTACTTTTTTTTTTTTTTTTTTTTTGCCTGTGGTGCTTGAAACTGAAAGCTTGAATTTCTAGTCACATTTCCTACGTCCTTGAGGCTGTGGGATGGAAGATAACCAGATTATTGAGATGCAGTCCTATTTTCTTACTCCCCACCCAGCCCCCCAAAAGGCCTTTCGAGACAGAAGTGACTTCAGCCAGCAGGATTGATTAGAAGCTGGATACTTTGAACGGGGCACACCCCGCATGTCCCGTGGGTCCTGTGCATCCTGCACGGCTCTGGCCTCGGGGCACCTGCAGCTGCGCACTCGCACTCGTGTGGGCTGCAAAGCCAGGAGACAGAAGGAACATGAAAGCCAACAGCCCCTGAGGGGAGCCTGATTCCAGTTTGTTTCTTGAAACTACTTCCTTGTGGAGCATGTAGGATGAAAGACAAACACGAGGTTGTTTTGGTCCCCTGGAGGCGTCCTGCAGACCTGTGGTCCTCCCCCGCCCCTGAGGGGGACACACGCTATCACTGTCCCCTCTGCCCTCTGGTCATCGGCTCTGGATTCCCCTGCAGGCTTGGAGGGGGTACAGGTTATCGTCTGGAGCCTGTCTGCCTGTCACACCAGGGTCCTGGGGTGTCGGGGACTCGTGAGACTCTCAGAGACCCGCCTCAGAGCCTGTGGCTTTGGGGCTCGCTTCAGGAGGGGATGGGACAGAGGGTTCTGGGGCAGGGGCTCAGTAGGGAGTGGAGTGAGGGGGTCCTCCCCACACTCCGTGGCTTCCTTCTTAGCTTCGGCTCCTCCTTCTCCAAGAGTTTTGTTCTTTCCTGAAGTGATAGCCCGGCAAGGTGACCTGTTGGCACTAGAGAGGCGCCAGCCCTTCTTGGCACCTGATCCTCCTGGCCGGCCCGCCGGGGGGCCAGGGTGTGGCCCCAGAGGCAGGCGGGGGGTGGCAGGTGGGGTAGAGCGGGGTGGATGGCACCCGGCATCCGGGTTACCGCCTGGGCCCACCCGCAGTGCCGCCAACGTGAAGAAATGGGAGATGGAACTGCAGACCCTGCGGGAGAGCAACGCCCGGCTGACCACGGCGCTGCAGGAGTCGGCCGCCAGCGTGGAGCAGTGGAAGAGGCAGTTCTCCATCTGCCGCGATGAGAACGACCGGCTCCGGAACAAGGTGGGTGCCGGGGGTGCCCCGGGGATGGGGGTCCCCGTTCCACTTCTCTCTTCCCGCCGCCCTCACTCGCCCCCCCTCCCCGTGGCGGGAAGAAGACTCGCTGTCGCTCCCCTTGGAGACCCCCCTCACCTCCCCACTTTGCTGAGGAGGAACACGAGTGAGCGAGCCAGGTTTCACAGCTGCTGTTGCAAAGACGACGAACCCACGGGAGCCTCCAGCCTTGTCCCTCTGATGCTAGTTGGGGGCGGCCTTCCCTTGGCACATTTCTCTACCGAAGATCAACGCACCGTGTTCACCGTCCAGAGGGTGAACGAGGAAAATAGATTTGGGAAACTGCGAGGAGCGTTCACTCAGCAACCCTACTTCCATGCAAATCACTGTGTCTAAGAATATGAATTGGGAAGTGGGCAAAGGAATACGGCACCTGAAGTGTGAGCTGAGTGATCCGAGCATGTCATCTGCAGCCTTTCCTGTGATTAGTCGCTCACGCTCTTCGTGGTGGGGCTGAGTCGATGAGGTAGTTGTGGGGAGGCCAGAAAAATCCCCAGTTGAGACCCCAGGGGTCTCTGTGTGGCCATGTTTTGATGCTCAGCACGTTTATCAGGCAGGCCGTGGACAGCGGCTGCCGTGTAAGTGTGGGATTTCAGGGGGACACATCACCCTGAGACGGGTCTTCACGCCCCCGGCCCCCCATTGGTAACCTGCCCACCGGCCTGAGTGGAGCCCCCAGAGGTCACTCCCCTGCTCGCCCATCTCACTTTGCTACAGATGACATAAAACTGCCTCGTGTCGTTTTTTCATTTCAGCGCCTCAAGTGCTGACTGTGTGCGTTCCCTCCCAGGGCCTGGCCGGTCCGTCTGCCTGCAGGACCGATTGCCCCACCCTTGTCTTCCCAAGCAGAGAGCTGGCTCTCGCCCCTCGTGCGAGTGTAACGGGGGGAGGAGAGGAAGTACATCCCTTAGAGTTTGCTTCCTCAACGGGAAGCACTGGGAACTTGATTCCTAGGGCACAAGGTAGCAGTTAGTGGAGTCCCCGGTGGCTCCTGGGGCTGGGAGTTCAGACTCCGGGGGCTGGCGTGCAGTCGCCTCCGAAAGTGTTGTCATCCTGACCGCCCGGCGCCCTTCCCCTCGAGGGCTGCCGCCTGCTTGTGGGACCCCATCAGTGTGATGCTTTGTGTTACCGTTGGCTCCCTTCCATCATGCTCTCTGCACACACGCTCTGGCCGCTGGGAAGCACTCGGCGTCGGACGGCCAGGCCAAGGCTGTGAGGCCTTTGAACCCCGTCTGAGGGGTCAGGCCTGGGAAGGGGAGAAGAGTGCACTCTGGAGACTTGCCAGTCCAGTCTGCACCTTTCAGCTCTCCCAGAGGAGGCTCGCTCACAGGCCAGGCCCTTCCGGCGTGCGTCAGTAAGGAAAGGTCACCCTGGTTTAAAATGTTTGAAATGTCATTGCCTCTCATTTGGGGGCCACTGTCCCACAGCGTTAATTGATTCTCTTCCTTGCTGTCTTAAACCTTTGAGATGAAATAGAATAATTCAGGACATGATCAAATGGTGTGAAAAATCATTATGGGGAGAAGCGGATAGATTCGTGGGACATCTGGCCCCTACTCGGTACGAATCCTTTAAAGCAAACCTGCCATTCCTGTCCCGGAGCGGTGAGAGCAAACCGGAGGCCCGGCGTGTCCCGTGGCCAGTTTTCGTGACTGCCGCGGCTCTGCCGGCATTAGGCAGGGCGGACAGCCCCGCGGGGGAGCCACACGGGGTCTGTTCGCAGTTGACGGTTCATTGTAAAAGACAGCCTCAGTGGCCGCGGTGGTCTTTGCTCCGTGACCCAAGTAAACGAGCCTCCCTGCTCCAGCCTGTGGTGTTTGTTACAGATTGACGAGCTGGAGGAGCAGTGCGGCGAGATAACCAGAGAGAAGGAGAGGAACACGCAGCTCAAGAGGAGAATCGAGGAGCTGGAGTCAGAACTACAGGAGAAGGAGACAGTGAGTGGAGGCGCCTGTGGGCGCTGTGCGCCCAGGACACGGCAGGTGTCGGCGGGGGGTGGGGGCAACGTGACCAGCCCTGGGGGGCAGCTGCCTAGATGTCAGCACGGGGGCCAGCCAAGAGCTGCCCAGAGGCTGGGGCCCGAGGGGGAGCCGGGTGTTGACGAAACAGTCAGAAACGTTTATAGGTGAGCTGCTGTCACAAGTAGAATTGTGCTGTCGGGCTAACGCAGCGAGAGCCCCCACCGTGCGGGCGTTTGTTTTCGGGGGGGCGGCAGGACCACTAAGTGCGCAGATGCTGGAGACTGTGGGCAAGGCGCCAAAGTCCCAGCCTCCGTTTCCCTATCCAGAAGATGGGGATGCTAAGAATCCGTCTCTTTGTGGCGGCGCGCAGACGTCAGGCTACAATAATGCACGTAACAGGATTGCCCATGTGCTGCGTATTAACTCCACCGCCTTTGTTACTGTCGAGGACGTCAAGAGCTGCTTCCGCTAATGTGCACACAGATCGTGGGCTTTCAAGAAGGCTTTCTGTCTGACTTTCCCATCCTTTTTCAAACTTCTGTCCCCTTAGGAGTTGAAAGACCTCCGCAAACAAAGTGAAATCATACCTCAGCTCGTGTCAGAGTGTGAATACGTCTCTGAGAAGTTAGAGGTAAGGGTGATGGGGGCGCATCCCGTCTTGGCTCTGACCAGAAGGAATTCGGGTGCGATGCGTTTCTCTGGGGGGCGGCCCCCTCTCCCAGCTCCCCTGGTAAAGCAGAGTGAGGTTCTCGTCATGAGAAGCCAGCAGGACCTGCATGCCAGTTGCCGTCTCTGCCCCCGGCTGCAGACGCAGCAGTGTTTCTGCTCTCTCCACCTTTGCCAAGGTGTCCTGTGCGTAGCCATAGTGCAGGGGCTGTGTCCCGCTCACAGAAGTCTCCACAGAGCCATAGGGCGGTGAGAAGCTGGCCGAAGGGAGGGCGGAGAGCGTAAGGCCCGGAGTGAGGCCAGCTTGCCACTCCCCAGCCAGTGACCTTGAACACGACCTTGGGCAGCGCCCCCTCACTGGCCTCAGATTCCTGATCACAGCTTCTTTCGCTTCCCCCTACTTCAGGAGTGCTCTATTCAGGTGTACGTCCCCAGTATTAGTCACTGGTTCCTGTATACCCAGAAAGTCAGGCGCTCACTGGATGTGGGGAGAACAGAGCTGCCCCTCGTTTACGGACTCACGGCCACTCTGAGCTTAGGAGGAGCTCGACCGGCTCCCTGGCCACACCGCCTGATCCTGGAGCCCGTCCTGCCTCACTGAAGCCAGGGAGGCCTCGGCCTCTCGGTGGAACCGGGGAAATAAGTCACTGCCCCGTTTGTCCCATTTCTCTCTCCCGGAATGGAACTCACATGTGGCCTCTGCAGACCCTTCTGGGACCAGGGCCGAAGATCCCTTGTGCTGGGCCTGCGGACTTTCTCTGCCGGGCGCTTTGTGAAGGGGCCCGCTTGCCTCCGGCTCCCCCAGACAGGACCCGAGCTCTGCATTCCGTGTAGGGCCGTCCTTTAATCAGGCCTGAGGTGGGTCATGCACTCTGCCTGTTAGCACCTGCGCCCGGGAGCAGGCAGGAGAGCGGGGCGCACCGGCACGCCCCACATTCTGCGCTGATGGCCCCGGTCACAGACTTGCGTGCTGGGGGCTTCGCAGGCCGGGGAGAGGGGACAGCTGGGCTGTTGCGGGTCTCGGCAGACGGGCCCCCTTGGCTCTGCTCCAGGCCCTCCTCCCGCTTGTGTTGCTTCAGGCGGCAGAGAGAGACAATCAGAACCTGGAGGAGAAGGTGCGTTCCCTCAAGACGGACATTGAGGAGAGTAAGTACCGTCAGCGCCACCTGAAGGTAGAGGTGAAGAGCTTCCTTGAGGTGCTGGACGGCAAGATCGACGACCTGCACGACTTCCGCCGCGGCCTCTCCAAGCTGGCGGCTGACAACTAGGGGCCGCGGGGGGTGGGGGGGGCTGCGGGGGGGGGTGGAGCGGGGGCGGCCTCCCGTGGGCGTCGCTCCCCTCCGCGCGGGTGCGGTCTGTCGTGTTTGCGCCCCGGTGGGCCGTCCACCCTCACCTCCCCGCCTGGCCAGGCTGCGGACCCCGGGACGCCGCTGACTCAGGAACCCCGCGCCAGCTCCCCCTTACGCGTTTACGCAGTCAGGGCAGGGATGTTTGTATCTTTCTCAAGGGCTGTTGCAACCACACCAACCGGACAAAGCGTTTTCTAATCCAGATACAAACACCCTTTACACCTCCTTTCTCGTAAGAGCGGTCAGAGTATTTGAGCGTCCGCCGGGCACCAGTGTGGGGGTCCCGGGGCGGGGTGGGGGGGGGACAGCTTCCCTCGCCGTCGAAACCAAGATGCTTTCAAGCGGTCTGAGTAGAGACTCGTCCAGAGAAAGAGAACAGGTCTCTGGTGGGCGCACGGGGATGGCCTGCATCCGCTCTGCCCGCTTCCTCCCACCTCCAGTTTGTAGGGTTGCCACAACGTTCCTTTCCTGGGCTTTCATTTCTGAGCAGGTTGCTGTGCTGTGGGGGCAGAGCGCAGTGAGGGTGCCTGGCACAAAGTAGGTGCTTAATAAATATTTGTTCAATTAAACTTACAGCACTTAGTGTTTTAATCAACCCCCCAGCAGAGTCCATTGGACCCTGTTGGACGGCCCATCATCTTGCTGTGCTGGATAGGAATTCGACTGACTGTGTGTGGTCAAGCTCTGGGTGGGCTCCAGGGGCCCCCGGGGCAGGACTGGGTGACTGGAGGCAGCAGGAGCTGGTCTGAGGCCGCTCATAGCCCATCCACGGCGCTCGGCCCCTGAGTGCCTTTGAACTGGGACCACCCTTCTTCTCTAGGGTGGGGATCTAGGAGAGGACCCTATGTTGGGACTGGACAACTAAGAAAGAAATCACACAGGCCCATGAGGGAGAGGCCACTCACACTGGCTGAGCCGTGGCCTTAGCACCTCTGGCCTCTCTCCGTGCCTGCTAAGGAAAGGACCAGAGCCATAAAGCTCTCCTCTCTTACTGAGTTTCTCAGCGGGGCCAGGGAAGGTCTGGGCACCCTGCATGTGGCAAGATGGTTTGAATCCCTGGCCACGGGCATTTCTAAATGCCTTTCGGGGTGGTGGAGGATTTGGTGCCTCCTTACCCCCCTTGCCTGCTTTGGGAACCACCAAGAGAACATCTCCTTCTAGAAAGAATTTCTAGAATTTCTCCCTGGGGAATTTGGATGAACAATAAAACAGCCTGAGGAGGCAGGTGGGACACACACAGATGTGGCCCGGGCCCTGGGATGAATCCTGCCATTGGGACCATGTCTCTGAGCAGAGAGCTCTTATTGGGATGAGGGAGGGAAGGTCAGTCGTCTGGAGCACCAAGGCACCTTGTGGCAGGGGCGGGGAGGGGGGCACGGGGGTCCTGCAGGCTGAGGGGGGTGGCTCTGCTTGAGCATACTGGGCTCGTGGCAGACAAAGTGGAAAGCATGGGCAGCCCTCTTGGGGACTTGAGATAGGGTGCTGTTGGCCCGCCCTTTCCCCAGAACCCCCCAGATAGCTTTCAGGGCAATCGGGAGACCAGAGAGCTGGGCTGGCCACGATTCGGCCCCGTGGCCCAGCAGTGGCTCAAGGGGGTTCTTCTCAGGCCAGGTGAGACCACCTGTCCCTCAGGTGGGGCCTGGGGCTGCCTGGGAGCAGTGCCTCCTGGGATTCCAAGACCTCCGCTTGGGTCTTCTGATGCCTGCCACCCCTGTGTGTTGGGTGGCTTACGGATCTGGAAGGAGCCTTCTTGACTGACTGGAGCACACTCAGGTGGCATACACATAGGAAGGTAGAGTGGCCACAGCCGTTTGTGAGTTCCGCAGCTGGGGCACTGGGAAACACTGCAGAGGTAGTGCCATGACTGGTGGGCTACCGTGTCCCTCTGTGGTCAGGACCCATGATCCCTGCTCACCCGTCCCTGGGGGGTTTGGCCAGCACCTTGCCAGGGGGTAGGATCCACGGTGTGGCGTCGGGTGTTGCAGCCCAGGAGCCAAGAGCAGGAGAGGCGCTCCTAAGGGAGGATGGGTTCAGCGGGGAAAGCACCATAGCTGTAGGAAAGCACTGGCCTTTCACTTCCTTCTGCTTTTCTCTGAAGATCTTAGTGCTTCTTCATGGACTTTGTTTAAAAAAAAAAAAAATTGGCCCCGGGGGCAACCTGGAGGGTCTGTGAAGAGACTACCCCATCTGACAGCCCCTGGCACCGTGAGGGTGGGCTCCACAGAATGAATATGACCCACTGCATTCATCCCACTTTCCGCCTGAGCCAGTTTCATGCCCTCACTTACGGGGACCGCCAGCCGCACCGATGTCCTTCGGTTGTCCGCATTGACGCGAGCGTGGGCAGCACATCTGCCTGGCACTCGTGTACCCGTCGGCCAGGCCATGCTGCTGGACCGGCTAGAGCCAGGACCGCTTCCTTGCCAGGTCATGTCTCCTGATGTTGACATGTCTGGGGCTGGCCGCCTGAACAGGGATTAGCTTTTTTCCTGCATCTGTGAAACTGGGGCCCAAAGGAGGTGAGGTGAACCGTGGAACCCCTTTATCATAATGGGCCTTAAAAATAATGTTCCTTCTGGGGTGCCTGGGTGGCTCAGTCAATTAGGTGGCCGACTCTTGATTTCGGCTCAGGTCATGATCTCAGGGTCCTGGGATCGAGCCCCGCAGTGGGCTCCCCGTTTAGCAGGGAATCTGCTTCTCCCTCTGCCTCTGCCCCTCCCCCTGCTCATGCGTGCTCACTGTCTCTCTCAAGTAAATAAATCTTTAAACATAATAATGTTCCTTCTAAGTAAAGACCCAACTGGGTGCATCACAAAATTGAGAGGGATGAGGGGAGAATTCTCGCTAGTGCCCAGGGAATGTAACCCCCAAGTGACAGGTTGGGACAGTGTGGTCACGCCTTGAAGGGAGAGCGAGCCAGCATCCACAGAGACCTGGAGCTTGGGTGGCCCGTGAGTCCCACACGGTCCTGCGTGCTGTCACATTAGACTCAGGTGGGCGAGAGCGTTGGGCAGAGTCATTCCCCACTTTGCAGACAGGAAGCAGAGACAGTGACATGCCCATCACCCAGCAGCCTCATGGGCTCCCCATCCGGCTCTTCCGGACTTCGGTCCGGGGTCATTCTGGGAGCCATGCCACTGCTCTCCCTTTGTGACCTTTGTGTGCCAAGATGAAAGTTCTCTGGGATCCTGTTGAGAGCACACTGCAGTTATATTATTTTAATATGTGTCCACAGCGGGTGGTGATTTATAAATGAGCGAACTAGAATTACATTACGTTCATTACAGACAGTAGGCTCCATTTTTGAATGTCTCCAGCTTTGCAAGGACCTTTCTGAGAGTGTGTTGGTTAAAATGCTGTCCGTGCTCTGAGAGGCCAGATCCACGAAACACAACCGTTGCAAGTTCTTCGTTGATGGCTTGCTTTAGTGGCGGTTTGTCCAAAGACAAACTGAGATGGCAGAGTGGTAAGCCGAGTTCCGGCTGGGAGGTTGTCTGACCGCTGCCCACCCCCTGCCCAGACCGGAGCCAGCCCTGGGGAAGGAGCAGGCCAGCCCTGTGGTTAGAGCAGGTTGAGTGGGACCTGACTTGACCCCCAGGAGGACTGTCCAGGTGGGCAGTGGTCTCCAGCCTGCAGGCTCCCCGTGGACTTCTCCAGACTCGGGCAGCCCACGAGCTCCGCCTTGAGGATGGTGGTGCCCGACGGTCATGTACTGTATTTGGCATGAAGCATCGAGGCAGGGGTAGAACAGAATATAGTTCAGGTGCTCCCTGGAAACACTGCTGTCCGCCCATTCTAAAGGACTACTTCTCTCTAGAAGTTAGGGGCAGTGTTGGATGAGAACCAGCCACCGGGCATGCCAGGGACCGTACTGGGGCCCCTGCCACGTCACCAGGTGCACGCTTAGAAGGAAGGCAGCCGTGAGGAGGCTTTAGCATAGGTGTTCAAAAGGGGCTGCCCTTTAAGATGGAGACAGCCATGCTCTCTGCTCATCACTGAAACTGGGTTGCTTGTGCCATTGGTCCTTCTAAAAGTTACGACTCTTTTATTTCCTTGAAATGCCACTAGATTTTTGAAGCGCTGACAATTTAAACTAGAAGCTTGCAAATCAATAAACTAGAAGCTTGCAAATCAATGTCCGTATATATTTTTAAATGATATGCATGGTTTAAAAGGAGCCTAATTCTGAGTACATGGTTTCTCCAAAAGAAACATGTTTGGGGGGTGGTGGGGGTGGCATCATGGAGAGGGAATCCTGTACAGAAATGTGTGTTCTTTACATGTCTTTTCCATACACCTGTCTCAAGGAGATGGGCTTTTCCTCTTTAAACACCAGTCAGGCAAGAAGGAGACTTTGGTAATAATTTGGCAACTGTATGGAATGTTCTAGTGAACTTAGGAGTGTGCGTGTGTGCACCTGTGTGTGTGTGTGTGTGTGTGTGTGTGTGTGTTGGAAAAAGTGGGAGAAACTATAAGGAACGGTTTTAAATAAAAAATATATATACCTAAGAGCAGTCTTTAATAATCCTGGTGGTGGTGCTATATGTTCTGGAATCTGTTTCTGAGGAGATAAGTTTGTGGGTCTTTTGTTTCGAGTGGAATTGTACAGTGCCCTACTCTTTTTGATGATGCAGAGCCTTGTGAAAAGTGGTCCCCCAGGCCACACAGACCCCTGGTGCACCTGGCAGGAGGCCGGACTGTGGGACATTTTGGCAGATGATTGACAGGTCTGATGATATACAGCTGTGGGGAATGTGTTACTGTTTTTACAGTTTTACTGTTTTTCCTTCATGCCTCTTGTACCGCTTTGAATATAAAGTCCTGACTTCAGATAAATTGTTGTAGCAATGTCTTGTGATAAAATAGCCCATTAGGCATTTCTTATATCAAATGTAAGAGTTTAATGATTAGTGCAAGGTGGTCAAGTGGACTGTCCCAGGAGTTCTAGGATGTGGTTTTTTTTTCCCTTTTTGAATGCATTTTTAGTTCCTAAATAACATACGCATTTTTCAAAAAAAAACTACAGATGAGTGAAAAGAAAAAAATCACCTGCTATTAGACCATCTGATTATAACCACTGTTAACATTTTAATATATATTTTTTCAGACTTTTTCCTATGCATCTGTATTCATTTCATTACTTTTTCATGAAATACAATTATGTTACACATAACTGTTTTATAACTTTTTTCCCTTGTGACATTATATCATGATTATATATCACTCAAGATGTGAATTCTACCATTTTTAACATCTGTATAGGTTGTCCTGTGGATACTTGGATGGTTCCCGATTTTTTATGGTCATGGTCAAGGATATGATGAAATCCTTTGTTCTAACATCTTTTTAAACTTTTCAGAAGATTTACTGACGATCACTTCTAAAATTGGACTTGCTAGGTCAGAAGTGTGGTGGGTAATGCACATGCTACTCCGTGGATGTCTCCTTCTGTCCTTCCTGGGCACACGGGAGACTCCGCTCCAGCCCTCTCATTTGAAGTTCTGCAGGGTCCCGTGACATTCGGGCCAATGAAACCAGAGCAGAAGAGACCTGAGAAACTCCCAGGCCGAGAC